CATTCCCCCGCCGCCGCCTACCGGTTGGGTGGAGGGCAACGTTGTGCCGTACGACCTTGTTGTTGTCGGCTCGGATGGCACGTGGGAGCTTCAATGTATTGCGCACGTCGCCGCCCGCGTGGATGAGGTGGTGCAGCCGTTGCTCCTTGAGCGCCCAAGCGCAGACGCCACGGCGAAGGCCCAGGAGGAGTTTAACGCCGCCGTGGAGAAAGCTCTGCAAAAGGTCATTTTGGATACACTACGCAAAGGCGGCGCCACGTTTTGCTGCCCAAAAGCAATAGCCCCAGGGGGGGATAACATGTCATTGGCGCTCATGCTCCTCTTGTGATCGGAAACGTATACTAGTACAATTATGGCATAGCCGCATACTTCAGTCGAATAACTAATATGCATGTTTGTTTCCCCCAGCCTCCCAAATATGTTTTGACGGGATGTTTCTTTGCTTATGCATATAAATAAATATATATATATATATANATATATGTATATGTATATTTATCTAGTCAGGCGTAGTGTATGTGAGGCCGTGGATTTGTTCTGATAGTAGTCTTCCCCTCCCATCCCGTCACACCCTGTTCTGTTTCGTGTGTTGCTGTTGTTCCGTTGTTGATGCTTGTTTTTTGTTTTTGCCTGCTTCTTTCTTTCTTTCTCTCTGTGTCAGTGTGTGTTTCTTGTTACAGCTCCATTTTCCCTCCTCCGTCCTTTGTGTTTGTGTTTGGCTTTATCTATCGTTTCAACACCATACTCCGTTCCACTCAGCTGGTGTCTGTATCACTCGCGTATTTCTACCTTATGTTTTTGTTTTCTTCCTTTGTATTGCCCTTCGTTGTTGTTTTCGTTTCGCGTGAGGCGTGGGGCCGTTTCGTGGGTGTTTCCACCAAGTACGTGTGTCCCTCGCTGCCCTCGCAGCTCCGCGGGGGGTGGGGGGGGAAAAAAAGGAAAACAACAAAAAAGGGAATCAGGCAACCTGTTGGGGGGGATCCAGCGGGGCGGATGCCACCGGGTGGCTNAAAAGGAAAACAACAAAAAAGGGAATCAGGCAACCTGTTGGGGGGGATCCAGCGGGGCGGATGCCACCGGGTGGCTTCCGCTTCTCCGTGCGCACAGGGTGCATGTCCGAGAGAGAGAGAAAGAGAGAGAGAGAGGCATGTATCTCTGTGTGTAAGTCCATCTTTCGTTTGTTTGTGTGTGTGTGTCTGTGGGTTTTTGCTTCTTTGTCGGCTCACGCATACTCGCCATGGGGGTTGCGGTGGAGATGAATGACGCGGCTTTTATTTCTGCCTGTTGCAGGTCCCCGCTCACCTCTCCCACCACTCACCAGCGTTCGCTCCTTCATCCGTCGTCTGCGTCGTGTTCCTTACCACTTTGTATGAGGTGACGACTGCGCTGAATCCATTCCTCATTTTTTTGTTTGGTCTTCATTCTATGTCTGTGCGAGCGCGTGTTGGTGTGTTGTGGATGTACGTTTGAGCATTCTTGGTCCTGCGAAGGTAAAAAAAAAGGGGGGAGGGAAACGAAAAGGAAAGGAAAGGAGGGAGGGATGGAGGGGGGGGTGAAGAATAATGCAAGTAATGAATAAGAAAGGAGGGAAAAAGAGAAACTTTGTGAGACTCCAATACTATATGCTTTCTTCACGCCATTGTTTGTCGTTTTTTTTTGTTTTTGTCTCCTTTTCTGCCGCCGTGTGTCTGTGTATCACATATATGTACGCGTGTGTGTTCTGCGCCAGCCATGTATATCGCCGCCACGGCGTCTGTGTGCGGCATTCACACCGGCACACGTGTATACAGACCGTCGCGCCCACACATTGCACAGTGGCGAATATTGCAGGTTCGGAGAGGGGAAAGGGGTGGAGGAGGGGCTGATTGGGGGACAGCGTGGGCAACGCAGCAAACCGAGAGCAGGAAGGAAGAAGAAAGAAGAAACCAGGCGGCAGGTGTGTGGGTGCAGCAGTGCAAATGTTTCTCTCCCAGTCGGCGGTTGCCGTCACTTCCAGAGGTGTGTGTGTCTGTCTCTGTGTGTGAGTGTGTGCTCATTCAACTTCACACATGTCTTGCTATGCCCCCCTCCCCTTCCTCATTCTCTCCCTCCCTCTCTCTCTCTCTCTCTCTCTCTCTCTCTCCCTCGGTGTGTCATTGCTGTTTCTGTTGCCACTACTGCGTGTGGAAAGATCATTGGTGGCAGGAGCGGCACAGGCACCACCACCCACGCAAGCGCATTTGTCTCTGCTGCACATTGGCATCGGTCACGCGTAGTTCATGGCCCGTGCGACGCGTTTCTTGCGGATGCGGGCAAAGCCGGCAGCGCAGAAGCTGCAGTCTATCCTCGCGATCGGGCTGCGACAGGAGTACCCGCCTGTGTGGACTGTCCCCCTCCCACCACCGCTCCCTCGGAACGAGGGCAAGCCGACGCTCGTGCTCGACATTGACGAGACGCTGCTGCACACGTACGGCATGCAGGCGGCGTCGGCCGACACGGTCGGCTTCGCGCTGTTCCTGCGGCCCCACCTGCGCGAGTTCCTGCTGGAGGTGATGGAGCTGTACGAAATTGTCTTCTGGACCGCCGGGACGGCGTCGTATTGCTCGGCAATGCTGGACGCGCTGGAGGTGCAGGTGCTGCAGCTGCCGTCTTCCTTCTACAACGTGGAGGAGATGCGCCGCGACGCGCGTGGGGCGCCATCATCGGCGCACGTAAACTTCTTCGCTCTCTCCCGCACACAAACGCTGGAGGAGCATAACTACATGAAGTACCTCCCCATGCTTGGTCGCCCAATGCACCGCGTCGTGATGGTCGACGACAATGTGCGCAGCTTCCCGCTCCACCCACGCAACGGTATTAAAGTTGCCCCGTTCCTCCCAAACGACAGCGTACTGCAGGAATACAGTCAGGCGGTGTCGCTCCTGCAGCAACAAGGCGAGGAAGGCGATCACTATAATCTTAATCCTAATGCGCAGCGACGGGAGGAGGGGGGAAAGGAGGTGGACAGCGCCCTGCACGACGCGGTACGTCGCGGCAAGGAGGA